CAAGGGAAAGGGTGGGTTTCGGGGGTGGTGGTTATGGTAGTGGTCTGATAACAATAGGTCGCAGTGGTGGTGGTCGCCACAATGCCAGCTTGCCTGACTTCTTTGCGTGTCAAATGACTGAAAAGCCGTGGGGAGTACACGGGCGGGGGTTGTGGGTGGGCCAAGCGGATGGGGGTTGCGGGGCGGAGGGTACACGGTGGTATGAAAGGCGTGCTTTGTTTGGAAACAATGCCGATACTCGGCTACATCCTCATCTCCATTCTTCGCCTTGACGCAGTGCCGCTCCGAAAAGGGTTGCCTTTATTCATCCCTGATTAAAGTTATAGGTTATTTTCGCTCTGTTTTGCGGGGAAATACTTTCTAAGATTTTCACCGCGCCTCTGTCATCGCTCTCGAATTAAAAGCCCGGAATTGTCTGCCGATGCGGCCTCGTGTAATTATCGTTGAATAGAAAATCAACCGAAATCGACCTGGAATTTAAAATGTACATTTCTTTCTCCCACATTCTCAAACCGATGTATCAGCATTCTTAACAGTTCTTCCTTTAAGCAATCGATTGCCAATTCTATTCTATACTCAATTAACATTAATGCGAATTACCGAGCTCTCCTGTGTTTTTCGCGTTCGTTCAATCCCGATTCCGATTCACAACCACTTGTCACCCACACTTTGCGCTGCGAAATATTGAAATTGAAATCAGTAGACATCGTTTCTCGGTCGGCGTATGTTTAGATGTTATTACGCGTCGGTTATCGGACGTGGTACGAGCGCATCCCCTAAAAGAGTTTAATGGACTCGCGCTACAAACGCATGTATTCGTTGGGACTCCGCGGCGATGCCATGGTTGCTCGTCGGACTTGGCCTGTCGGAAATTCGCCCCAACCCTCGGCGTTTTCTGGTTTCAAAGGAGAGTAAGCCTGGTTCGTGCAGCCCGGGAGAGGAGACGTCGCCGAAGGAAAGCTCATAACAAACTATTGAAAAGCCAACGAATGAAAAATCAATGGCGGGTGGGCACGGGCCAGATTGGTCGGGGGATGGGGAATATACGCGGAAGGGAAAGCTACAGGGTGGAAGTTGGGGGTGGTTTGGTGAATGGAATATTATTGGGGCATCCTTTCACGCGGACTCGACGGAAGCTAGAAGACCTCATCTGGCGAGCTGTATGGATGCCGTTCGCCCCGGCAATGTCGCCTATTGAACCGTTGCTTATATATGTACGTATTTACACATGCTCGTGGCAGGTACGCGCGCGCGCGCGCTCGCGTACACGTACACGTACACGTACGAGAGCTTGTTGCACACATCTCCTCCCGCGTTATACTAACACCTTTTCTTCGTCTCCTCGTATGAGTGACTGCTCACCGTGTTTACACGTAGGAATATCTATAAATGTATGTAGCACTGCGCGGCTGTGTGAACGTAGGTTCTTACATTTCATGATTTATCACGCAGCTTTCAGCGGGCCTCAAAGCGTCCTGAAAGCGCGCAGATTGATAAAAGAAATAATAGAGGACGCGAAATAGAGGGACTCGATCTGATACGAGGAAAGAGTGTGAGGGTGGTGGATGCGCATGGGGTGAAGTGGAGGGATGTCGAGCGAGAAAGAGAGGATGAGTTAGAGATTCCAATGGGGTTGAAGCGACGGAACGACGATAGCGACGAGGACAACAGGAGAAAAGAGGGAGGGGGGGGACGTCGTCCCTCTGAAATAGGGGTGGTGGATCCTTTCGATACGCTTCAGCCCGTATCCCTCCACCCTTTTTCCTACTCGATTGCGTGTCTTTATACTCAACTGGCACGCGGGCTCCCCCCGTTCGTTGTCTCGCCTCGCGGCACGTGTGCCTGGATATTCTTCTGGGGGGTAAGCAATATTCGTTTCATTTTTAGTCGCGTTCGTTTCTTTCTTCCTTCCTTCCGCCGCACCGTGACGTAGCGATAAAACATAGGAAACGCGAGCGGAGTTCTTACTTCAGTTTTGTTCTCTTTTTACGTGGTAAAGTTAATCGGTTCGAAGGGAGGCGTTTGCCTCAAGACGCGCGTGAGTTTAGCAGCGTATGAAGACAAAATAAAGAGGCTATACGGGTGGCGGAGGAGCGACGGCGCGGGTGGTTGGAAAGCCGGAAAGTTGCAAATGGGATGAAAGGGGATGGCAGCTCGAGCGAGAGATAGAGAGGAAAGAGGGGAAAGACAAAAGGGGTGGTAGAGAACTGTGAATCCCGTGGCAGCATTGTCACTCCATTCGCCGGGGTTGCAGAGCCGGGGCGGTTCCGACGCCACCACCGCCAACGCTTCTACCACCACCACCATCATCGGCACCCGTGCCGTGCCGTGTTCGCTTGAAACCCGCGAGCTAACCCTGTTTTACTGCCGTCTTCCGGATTGTCTACCGAATCGACCGAAGCAGTTAATTACTCGTTAATGTGCCGCACCGCGATATTATTATTTTCGTATTATCCGGTGCCGCTAGGGTTATCGTCAAAGAGTTATTTGATTATTGGCACCATTACCTCTCAACGACAGACGTGAAAATCGAAGCAGCATTTTGATTTCACATTATTCTACGCCTGATTCGATATGGTCTTGAGGACGATGAAGATATCGGGAGTATCATTAGGGATACCTCTAAAAAGGATGACTTTACGATTCTCGCATTATACAGTCGTCAACCCTTCATTGGGGTCGTTAAAGTGCGCCCTTCGAGGGACCAGTTCGAACGGACGATTTATCATTATCTCGATAACCCAAAGAAGATAAGGCGTTCGACGGGCTGAGTATTGTATTCGGCCGGGTGGTCGTGGTATGATTTACTATTTCCTCGGCACATCTGCTCGCTTAATTAACGTTTCTCCGATGCCATTTCGGAGATACGTATCAACGGTTGCAGTCGCGGTGCGCGCCGCGGAGTCCCCGTTGAAAGGTGTAGCTCGGAGATGTCAGCAGTCGATGTAATTGTGTGTCGCGACGTGCTTTATTGCCGAGCGATAAAATTCATCGACGAGCTTTCCTTCCTTTCCTCGAGGCCGGCGGTTTGATTTATTCCCGCTGTTCGCTGCTTTATTTAATCAGTCAGCTTTGCAGCCGCGTTTCGATTTATATTTTTATACGGTAACAGGCTATGCATATGTACGTGTATAAAAAGAATAAAAGTATTGTCGCTTCCTGCAATTTTATACAAATCTACCTATTCGAAGCCGTAATTGTTGTCGATAAATCATTCGGACTTTTTTTTTTATTCTTTTGTACTCGGGATTTTTGGTTCAATGTAAACAAAATGGAAACGAAATACAAATGGTTACATATATGACAGTTTGTTAGAGCCGTGAAACAGGATCTTCTCGGTTGCGCGTGTTCGAAATGCATCGGCGACACCGTTTCACACATCCCTTCCGCGACCTGTGGCTGTATGCGTGAATGCGCGCAAAGTGAAAACTTCTCGAAATAATGGGTCGGCTGACCGCATTTTTCAATGGCTCGTGCATCGACTCGTGCACGTGGTTTAGGGTGATTACGCGCGGGGTAGCATATTGTGCGATCGTAGGGGTGGATCAACTGGAAGCGTGTTCGGGGGCGTGGTGTCGGTGGTTCGACGGTGCGTGCAGCGATTCACCCTCCGTCTGTCGTCGATCTTCTCTTTTTCTCCACCCTCCCCTTGTTTTCGAAGATGTTCCACTCTCTTCGACGATGTCGCACTCGGCAATAATCACTCTATCAACTTTATGGATAATAATTCGGATTTCCCATGTCTGTTGGGCGAAAATCTTTGTGGATCGTTTAACGCTCTCATCGAACAAATATCATCCCCCGAGTGTACTTTCATTTGAAATCGGAAATTCGACTGAACCGAGTGTCCAGGATAATCCATTGGAAACAGCAGTTCGTCGGGTCCGCGGCACAATGGTACCGGCCGCGTCTAGTCGTCGTAGTATTTTCGGCTACCTATCTCTCCTCGCGGACCACTCATTGTGACCACCGACCGACCGACGTAGCCAGCTATTATGTTTATTAAGTTGCCGGGGTTGGGCCAATTCCGAGAGAGCGAAGGAGTGTTGGATTCGCGATGCTCAGGAGGAGGGAGGGATGAAGGTGGTAGCGGAGAAAGGAGGATGAGCCAGGAGGTGGCTGGTGAGGGTTGGATGGTTTAGAAGCAGGGGGTGTATTGTACCGAGCATTGTCTGCCCCATTGTGTGACATCACGGCCCGATAACTGCCGATAAGACCGCGGCAATGCTCAGCTGGTGTGCACGTGTACGTGCGACCATTTGTGTGTTTGGTTGCGGAGAGAGAGAGAGATAGAGAGAGAGAGACAGAGGAGAGCGCAAGAAGAGGCAGATACGAAAGAAATATAATGTAGGTAGAAGCTATAGAGCGTCGTTGCCCCGGGAGAGGAAAGGATGGCTGATGGAGGTCGAGTGACTTTGCGGGGTACTCGCCCCTTTATTCTTCTGATTCCTCGTTCCTCTTCCGCGGATCGAAATCGCATGCCGCTGCTAAACGCTCGTCCTTTGTGCTTCTCAACGTCCCTGACGATAGAATACGCCGCGCCGGGCCGAGCCTTGAACTGCCGCTGCCGCATTCACCGATACTTCTCCCAGTTATTGGAAAGTGGAACCAGACGCGGTTGCGTGCCACACCAGACCCGCGATTAAGCTTTCTTTTCCCTTGTCGTAAGAACGGAAACTCTCGAACGCTACATTTTCCTTGCCTCGTTCTTCGAAGCGAATTAATTTCGACCATTGACACTGTTCCCGTGCTTTAATTAAACACTTACATCGCTAGCGACAAATTAAGCGGTGTCAGACATGTGAGAAGTCGAAAAATAAATTTTATTCAACGCGGCCAGACGTGGCTCGATCGCGAAACTTAGCGCGACTGATTCGGCGCGAAACGCGCTTTAAAAGGCCGAAGCAGGCATCCACTCGGCTACCTCGAAATTCCCAGCAATTTCTACAACTTTGCTGCTTAACTCCGTCGGTCTCATTAGGATGTGATTTCTGTTCCAGGTGCTGAAGTCTCGGAGGCCCGTGGCGCGGTAAGTGGCACTTTCGCCCTTTTCATTTCAGACAGAGCCGCGGGTGAGTAATCGTTTAAACCCGTGCACCGCGGCCCGTGGCATTAACGTTGGAGAGAAAAAAAAAAGAGTGTCATTGAGAAGGAAGTGCCCCAGACCACGACTACCACCCCCTCTCTCCCCCACACGCGTGCACCCTCCTCTCGTTGACGTTATATTGACCCAACACAGAAGCGTGCATTCATGCCCGGCCGCGTGACTACCGGCCGAATATGAATAACAATCAGAAACTATAACTCCTCCCTCGCGATCTATATAACGCCGGTAATATATGTATACGGTGCCCTTTACGAGCGCGCGGGCATTTTTATGTTAATCATCCAATCGGGGAACGGGCCGGCGATTTTCCCTTCCCCGCTCTCTATTGTAAACAGAAATCGTCGCACGGATTTGTTCCGCGGCGACGCGGAAAAAGAAGGCACATAACGAAGATCGTAAAGTGAGGGATCTCCCACGAGGAGGGTGAACGCGTGGTCCAGCTCTGCGGACCGAATCCACAGAATGGGATGATTGACCCGAGCATAGTGGATTCTTTCCTCCGTAGGGGAAACTTTTTTTACGTTAATACGGAATGATCTGTTGGATCCAGTGACAATTGAAATTCCCGGTGTCCCCCCCATTATATTATATTTTTTCTTTCGACACTCATGAATCCTAATTCGATAACTGCGCCCCAGCATCCTTTTCAAATGTTTGCCAGATTACAAAGACAGCCACGCGCGTCGAATATTTTGCTAAACCAGATTCTGTAGACGGTGAATTGTAAAACGAATCTGCCCTAAGGTTCCGCTTTTCGTATAACATTCCCGCGTTAAGCTCGTCCCAGTTTCGCGCAGCTACGCGATACGTACTCTTCTTCCCTCGCCGCGTCTTAATTCCGCGATTCCGCTGCCAGTTCCGGTTTGAGTATATCTACATTTCGAAACATGGGTTGGTCTCTTGTTCGAGCGGGCATTCACGCGGATTTCTTCATCGGCGTCTGGCTGTCGGGCACGGTGTTCCGCCGTTATACGAAATAGTGAAGCGCACCGCGTTAACCCGCGCTCCGCGCATTGTACGATGATTTGTACGGATTTCAGTCCGTTTGGTGTGTGGGCGCGTACACGCAACCCTCGCCTCGCCTCGAATCGCCTCGTCTTGAGAGTATGCTCTATGTTCTCCCGCGAGAGTAACGCGAATACAGATATAGTCGGACAGAGCGAGACGCGGGTAGGTGAGGAGCGAGAGAATCGCGGGGAGAGACAAGATAGAGGGAGCGAGAGGAACGAGAGAAAGAAGATCGCGGCTGGCCGTTTTGTGCGCACCGCGCAAAAGATGCCTTTGAATCCTTAATTCCCTTTGAAACTCTTATTCTGGGAGCAAAATGGCGAGAACGAACCGTATTCTTCGGTTGAATGACGTATTGAGCGAGTTTTGTATGCCGTTGCGTCCGCGTGTGGCTCATCCAGAGTCTATGCCTGCTTATACGTAATACGTTCTCTCTTTTCTCTTCCTATACATATACGCGCTTCTTGCTGCTGTTGCTGCTGCGAAGGAGAGGGCCGCAAGCGCTGCTCTTTTTCTTCGTTCCTGTCTTTTTCTCCTCGCTTTTCTAACCTTCTTTCAGCATTCCTTCGTTACTTACGTCACGCGGACTTTTGCTCGCGATCGCGAAATTTTTTCCCCTCCAACTATTCACGAATCACGTTCCAATCCTTTTAACGCATGCGTAGCAAAAATTAATTAGGAGCACGCGAAACGAGCGACGAGATTCGTGGTATCATCGTAATTATCTTCGTTATGTGTCGGCTTGAATGAAAGGCAGGGGCCTCGCACTGAGGACGGTGAACGAGAGGGACCGAGGGAGCGGGCGCGGGATCCGAAAGCGACGAGGAGGGTGGGTCGATCTTGCGGACTTAATCGGGCATCGGTGCTTTCCTTCGCGAACAATTGACGTCTGACTTTGACGTGCCCTCTGACACTTTCTCCGGCCTTTCTTTCTTCTTCCTTCTTTGTTCGGTGAGAAATCGGCGGAACGCGAGGCTTCAATCGATGGCCCATCGTTTACCCAAAGATTCCGATTTCTTTGCGAAAAATCGGTTAGGTACTTACTCCGAACTTTTTCGATCAAAGGACCAAGCCGAACGTAATTTTGCACAGCGGTAAGGATTTTCCTTTTGCCCAGTTGCTCTCTTGGTTAACAAGAAGTCGAAGTTTGTAAGAAGCGTGCTGCGTTGCTTATTTCTTTCATGAAAAAAAAAAGTAGTTCTTGTCGCACGGGTTTAAGAATTTAGAGACGTAAAAGGGTAGGTACTTGTTTTCTTCGTTTCCAACAATGTTCTACAACAGCTCTCTTCAACGTTTAATCAAAGGGAAAGTGGGAGTGTTGATCCAAGCGGTATAAACAAATCTCGAAGCTTTAAATGGACTTTTTATCGAGTTTATTTCGAGAATCAGAATTAACAAGTCTGTTAATTCCGTTCTGGCTGGGCTCGTGCGTTCAGCCGACGAATTTCGCATTATCGGCCGAGTTTCTCGCGGATACAATTTCCCAACACAATTTTCTTTTCAGTCGACCGCGAGCGAATCTAGCCTGGCCTGGGTGGTGGGTGGCAAATGGCAAAGGGGTAGGGTGAGAAAGAGAAAGAGTTAGCTTTGATGGAGGGGGAGCAGAGCAGCGCAGCCCATATTCGTGCATTGTGGCACGTTCCATCGCGTTCTCAACTGAACTGAACTCGACTCAACAGTAGAGGACACAATGGGCGGTATGAATAAGTATAACAGACAGACACCGGTACAGACAGACACAGGTAGCTCAGGCCGCAGTATGTGAATGAGGAACCCATTTGATAACACGCCTCCACAGCCACCCAGGTCCATTGTGTCGCTTCCTATTCAGCTGCTCTATGCCCTCTTCTCGTCCTATCCCCTCTTCGCCTCTTTCTACACCCCCACTGCTTCTGCTGTTCCTGCTCTTCGTCACCCCTTCATCCGCCATCTTCCCCTCTTCTGCTCGTTCGGCCCGATATCGCTACGGAAATCTTATCCTATCGAGTCTATACACGCGAAAAATCATAGGGGTATCCGTTCCCGTTTGAACCTTCCGCTCACGAGGTACCGGTTGCGTTCCTCCGTATCTTAGCACTTTGATAACGAGCCAGTAACGAAAGGAGTATGAAAAGAAGGGGGATCTTGCAATTCCCATTTGACTGACTCCCGCTTATTAGGAAGTAGGTGATAGGAAAACGTTACTTGTATCGATAAATCGTGTTATGCTAGATAACATGATTCTTATCGACTTTACCAGTTGAATTATTTCGCGCTTGTGCTACACAAGGTTTACGCTTTTCTTGCGGAGATTATTTCTCTTAATTCCTGTGCAAGTTAACGAGAGGGCTTCGAAAAAGATTCTCATAACCGCGAAGGAATTCCGATAGTCACATCGGTGCCTCCTTTTGATGTCGATTTCTTCGATGGTTTAGATTCAGGGAGACGCGTCAATGCAATCGATTACCAGATGTCTCGGTTTACGTTCTCCGGATGTGGGTCGTTTCACGCTCCGACGTCCGAGTGTTGAGAATTGATCTCAAGCGCATTTTGTTAGCATGCATTGCAAAAGTGTTTTACGCGAACTATCAATGCCGGCTAGTGTATCCGGATGACCCGGTTACCTACATGCATACGCGTTTCACGCAAAGTACGACGTAAAGCGGGGGTTCGACGCGGTTCTCGCGATGGGAACGGATCCAAGATGGTACGATCGAGGATCTGAACATCGCGCCCCGCAGCAACCATCGCCTCGCGTTTGGGACCAGACGCGCGACACTCGAATATTTATCTAAATTGCAATATTCATACGAAGTGGACAGACATTTCGGAACGGTGAAAGCGAGTTTCCCGGGCGCGACCGACGGTTCAAATCGATTTTCTAGGCAATGCTGGAACGGACCGGCAACAATGCTCCGATTTTCGGGATCTCGCTAGCATAAATAGCAAACAGCGAAGGTCCTATAGGTGTGTGGTTTGTTCCCGTGGACCAGCGAACGAACTATCCCGGCGTGCTCACTCTACGGCTCGCTCTCTACGTACGTGTACGTTGTACACCGAGTACGGACAACAATGAGGCAGAGACAAAGGCCAGGTACAATGCTGATGTTGAACTCGACTGATTTCGACGATTTTTGGCCTTTGCATGTGCATCGCGCGTTACTCGACAATGATTCCCGCATACGTAATCATCGCTATGGGCAGGGAAGGCTGGTACACTCGCGAGGCAGTGGCTCTCATACGCGTCCTCCTTTTTCCTTGCGATTCAAACCGCTCCGCGTTTCGGTACCAATCTGAATGGTCCCATCCTCAGCCGTCCTCGCAATTCTCCTCTAACGCATAATGATGCCGCGTGATCGCGATTCCGTCAGCCGTTTATCGCTTTAAATACCACCGGGTAATAATAATTATTGTAAACAATAGTCGATTTATGTCCGCAATAAGCCGCGGCCCCGCCGTCCCGCTACAATGTATCTAATCAATGACAGTTAGTGCCGAATCGACACGGCTATTTAAATTTGAAACTGATAATTACCCGGGCTGCTTAATATTCCATGATCGTTACAGCGTTTCCTGGATCACTGGCTCCATTGCTTTATTGACTTTACACACGATGCATCACCGCCAATAGTCACTCTGTCTTCATAACATGTTCTTCATCATAACAGCTTCGTCTTTTAAAAAATTAGCTGTTACAACGATATGGGATCGTTGCTCTTTGGTAACAAACTCATTCGACAGAGAAATTTCAATCGCTGTGAATGACGTCGAGTCCTTCGTTGGAGCGGCTTAACTCGATTCTTTCGCGAGGGTTTTTCGAGAATCGCGAGCGAAGGGGTGCCGATCGATTGAGCACCCCTGACCGCACCTGAATAGATACATTGTGCCGGGGCAGCCTATTGACGGGCGATTGTTCCCTCAACAATAACAACAATATCTGAATAGTCGTCGTGTACATCTCTCGCGCGCGTTCCACGCACCCACGCACGCACTCGCGCTCGCACGGTTGCATGCGTGCGCGCACATCCCTTTGCACGGTACTCGTACGTCCGCGAGGCGCATCCCTTCACACGTCTCCACGTAAAGTCTCTTTACATGATCGCACGTATATTCTTGCTCCGCGTTATAGGACGCGCTCCTTGCCCCCAATGTTCTCTCGGGCGGGGGTAAATAGTTAATGCATTCACGTATTAGATCTGTGAGATAGTTGCCGAAATCCATACTAAATAATTTTCCATAAAATTGTTTTAGTCGCAAAAATTTTGTAACAATTTCTTATTTCTGAATGAAGTGCATTAATCTGCATCATTCGTTTAAAGATGCCTTCAATTAAGAGAGACACGGAAGACGAAAGAATCATGAGATAAATAATGCTGGACGAGGTCTTTAAATTACTCGATAAAATTCCTATATATACATTAGAAAATGCAATTGTTTTTTGGTAGTGCAATTCAGTATCGTAGTGGAGTAGTTTAAATGTCTGTAAAGATAGAGGGATGCAAAACTGCAAAACATTCATTGGTCGTTGTGATACAATGAATGAAAATCGCATGCTTAACAATGATATAATTTAAATAATTGTGCGTAACACGGCATCGCTGTAAAATATTGTTTATTACCGGCTTATAAACAATGGCTAGTAAAGACTCTGGTGAAATGGCTTCGGTACGATTACAATACTCTGGGAGCGGGCGTTACATTTATCGTGAAAATGTATAAGCCAATCATAATTATAGCGCACTGCCCGATTGTTCATAATATTATAATACGTTACCTACTATATCGTTGTACACGAGAGTATATTCGATGGAACATTTGCCAACAATTTCATACGAGAAATGAAAAGCGAAAGAAATCAAATAATATGGAATACTATGCTATAATCGATGTACTTCGTACTTCGTCATCGATAAAGATTCTTAAATAAAGGATAAATGCTTATAAGTATCATCGAAAAACTCGGTCGTCTTCAATTGCTTATCATATTTTGCTACTACATATATATTATCATTTTTCTCTGCAACGTACAGATGTTTAAATGTTTCCCTACGTTTTGTAAAAAGTTTTATCGTTCTTTCATTCACGTATAATCGCCATAGTGACGTTTCTAAAATCATTTAATAATAGAATATATACTTATCGCTATTATCTGCGTATGCAAATATTGCATAGCAAGAGAATTCGTTTTTATTTTCCTATACAAAAATACATTTAAAAGATTATGTATGTTACTAGAATAAGAATGTATATTATGTGTATTAAATTACATGAGTATGATCATCGCAGCCCGTACCCGGCTGTCGAATAATCTACAATAACTTAATTGTCAGATACACGGCCGCGAGCCCCAGAAATAGAAGATTGGCATAATTGTCTAGGACCATTAACGGGTTAAATAAAAATTGATATTATCATGAGAGATTCGGAAAATTTTTCAACAGGCCCTCGCCGATTATATCTGACAATCAATCATCCAGTCAGCGCGATACCGGCGCAGCGCACAAAAAGAAAAATGAGGGAAAACCGTGCGCAGAAATTCGCGTCGCTTTTCGAACGCGTGGATACACACATTGTTTCGTAGTCTGTTGATTACTTGTTAGTACGGAGTGGGATTTTCGCGCACTTGGTACCAAATGCATAGTCGTTTTTAACGTGCCATCGACGAGACACCTCACCGCTGCCGGTACTTTCAGTGAGTTCGCCTTGACTAGATTTTGTCTCCAACCGGCCGCCGCTTGCGTATCTATTTATCACAGTTAGTTGTCCACAACCCATGACGTCGTTCCGTTTTCGTTGGTGATCTCGGAGTCGATGTATAATTAAAACAAGTACGGCGACGGTTCGCAGAAGCCGCAGTCCTTACAAATTCTCTGTGAACATTCAACTAATGTTTTAGCTATTTAGAAACTAGAAAACTCTATGCTAAATGTAAATCGGAATAACACTAAAATTGAAACAAAAGAATTCGTTAACTTCCACAGTGCCTTCTATGATCTAACGTTTCGTCGTCATGTACGTTTACTGCGAAACTCGTATCGATTTTGTTCTGAATTTTTTCGGCTCGTGACAAAATGGCCTAGTTGTAACAAGGACGAAGAGGACTGATCGAATCTGTCAAATTCACGAAGATTCATTTGGTTCTTTTCCGTGCTTGCTTATTTCATCACTCGACTCTTACATTTGTGATACGCTGTAACGGAAGAAATTCACGATGCAAAACTTTTTAAAAACGGAACGTTACCGTCGAGTTCATAATATAATCAAGGACGTCCGGATGCCAGACCTCAGAAGTAAATTTCCAAAAGTACGTTGCAGACAAATTCAATTTTATCATTCTGTTGAATTGCTAAATATCACCCGTGCGTTCGTTCTTAGGGCATCAGAGAAATAAAACCGTTCTCATTTTTGGAACATTTTCAATCACAACCTATACTCAGCAAAATCTCCGTGGTTAGCGCAAAGATAGCGCAGTTTCCGTACAGTCAGTACTGGCGAAGATCTCCCTTAAGGTACTGGACCATTGGTTTGATCGTTTGTTTGCCTGCTTTTTACCAAATTCAAGCAATGACGAATACGAGGACGAGTCCAGGGAAATTAGACGCGAACTTTACAAGGGATAACGTAGAAGCACGAACAGAAAGTGGCGGGCCGGATAAGGAAGGAAGTATTCCACGTGGTAGCGAGTGATTCGAACGGAAACACCTTCGAAGACATTTCCTTTGACGCGTTTCTTGAAGGTAGGACGAGGATGGAAGAGGAATTAAGCGTAATTATAGCAAGAGACTGTTAAAGGAGACTCCAAATTACTTAGAATAATTTCGCGCATCGGAATAGTATAGTATTTACATATGTATGTCTGTAGGAATAGTCGAGGCTTCGAGAATAAGTAACAAATCGGTTAGACCGTCGTTACTCGCAAAAACGTTTATCTGTCGTGTAGTATAATTCAATGTAGGTGTATCGTTTGATGTAATACGTAAAATTGTTGGTATTAAATGTGACATTATAGAATGTACTTTGATCGTTTTCGGTAAATAGAAAGGGTATACGCTTACCGTTGGGTAGTCCTCCGTCAGACCGTATTCACCTAAACGAAAATAGACCGATCTGTTCTCCATAAAGCTTTTGTAATCGTAGCGAGGCATTGTCGGGACTCTCATCTGCCAGAAGGGTTCTCTGATGTTCGCACCCAAATTTAAAATATCTCGTTGTTTGTAATAGATTCGGAGAGGTGGCTGAAACCATACGTAAATCCAGACGTATTCTTAGGTTTTGCACGTTGCTATCGAATCGCATACCTCGTCTGGTTTTCTGGCTGATTCGTCGGGTGTCTCTGGCCTGGACGAAGTCGGCGTTTGTTCCGGTGTCAATGAATCTGTCGAGGGAGTAAAGCTACAGATTCCACTCGATTCGCTCGCGGTGCTCGGTGAGATCGGTGCGTAACCAGCCAAAGTTCTCAGACCCTGTTCGTACAACAGTCTGGCTCCCATGGAAGCGAAATGTTCAGGCTCGAGGCCGGATAAAGGAAGAGCTATCGTTAGTGCCATTTTTCACTTTTTTCTTTGATCCGATTCCTTTCGAAATTCTTCTAGCACGCAAACTTGAATTGTTCTTTCTGGCTGTTAATGATATACGAATCTCCTCGCTGATTTCTCTCAGATTCTAATAATTGTTCAGACGATGGAGTCTGTTACGACGTCAACTGACAACTACTCGAAAGTCTGGTAGACTCTTTTTTTTACTATAACGTATTATTCTTCGTTTAAATGTATATGTGTGTTCTATGTAATACGTGTGTATATTTGAATCATGTAAACATGACCATTTTGACTTTGAATCACTATTGTGACTGAGTAGCAAGATCGTGACAAGTAATAATGCAATATAACGTATTACCAATTTAATTCCACTTTCTACGAAATTACAGGTATTAATTTATATGATTTATAGAAGTATTGTTCCAAATTTCGCTTTCATGTTAAATATTTGCCTTTGTTTCGTAATGTTCATCCTGTTTATTTAATCATGAGAGATTTTGTTTTCTTATTTCTTTATTTTTGTAAATGAATTTTTCATCAAGGAATGCGCCAGCATGCCGAAGGCAAGCTTGAGTCGGCAGTTTAATGTTAGAGACAATATTTAAGGGGTGCAAAGGTGAAAGGGTACCTATCTTATCGGCAAACGCATGCTATCGTCGGTAACAAGTTACCTACCATCTCTCTCGCTTGGCGAGGGATGTTATGGTAGAACACTTCCATTACCGACTGTTGCTTTTGAATCAGAGGCTGGTATTCAGAGTTACTTATTTTTAAGATCGCCTAAGTATTTATCCCCATATTTCCCTTGTTGTGTACAAGAAACAGAGATTTAAGCAAATGTTTAAGGCGATCTTAAAAATAAGTAACTTTGAATACCGGCCAGAAAGAGTAAGAGAAGCGGAAAGAATTCAAATTCGATTTCACGATTATTAAATTGTTAAACTTAAATCACATAAAAGTAGATTTGTGATTTTAAGAATCCAAGATTTAAATTTGCATTACTTTATAGCTTGCAATTTCAGAATTTGATTCTTGCATGTGATGGTAATGCAGATCTGCGTATACCGACCTATTAGTGAGCTCTTTTCGTTGCATCTATCAGTCGTTAGGTGGACATGGAGATCGAAGTCCAGAATACCTGCTACTATTTTCAATTTTTTTAAACAATAGATGAAGTTATAAATCCAATTTGTTATATTTTCCGTTACCAGGATTTATTTGCATTATTTCTATATTTAGTTATTTGCGAGAGACATTTATCTGTCTATTCTACCTTTTATAAGGTTTCTCGCTAGTGGTCACAAACAGCTTTGATCACTATATAAGAGCGGTTTATACAATGTGTACACGTAGTCCGGAGCTACTCAGGTATGAAACGCTGCGTGCATGATAAATGCGGCAGTTGCACATGTGAGCTTCTCAAGCCGTGTTTTATTCTAAATAAAACGAGCTTCTAGAATCCATGGAAGTGTTGTTTCCCTTCAGTGACCTTGTTCGGTGTTAAAAGAACGGACAAAATCATTGTCCGTATTCCAGATACTTGTAAGAATTCTCTTACTGTAGTAGCATGAAGTGACTACATTTTTTACTTGACCGTGTAATATTTTTGTCGTTGCTTAGTACATTCGGTTAGCTAAGCATAATCAGTACATTTATCATAAGGATTTAAAATAGGGCAAGTCAGTTATCGGGATTTGCTATACAAGCCCTAGACTGGATGCAATTGTAATGCAATTACATTGCAATATACTAGCATTACATTCCTATGCCGTATCGATCTTTGCCATTGCGTCCGTATTTCTCGGTTTCCATCGTTAAAGTATCCAATGCGCTGTAAACATGAAATTCTACCTATTTGCAGCTCCTATTTAGGAGTAGATCCCGCAGATAGAAAATTGTTTATGCTTTATGTACATAAAACTACTGATTCCTTGCGACGAACTTATGAATTAGGTATTGTTTTAAAATATTAATTTAATTAGACGGTATTTAGGTAGTTGTAATATCTCGGGTCTATCGTGATCCGTATATTTCTGCATACGTACGTCGGCCTAACGCTGGATTGTTTTTTGCTTGTACATAATGGCGTGCTTTCTTACGAACCGGCCTGACCACGTATATCGGGTGTCCGATTCGCGTGCGGAACTACGCGATCCATCCGACGGCCCTAGCAACGCACATGCGCCCTTCTTGGATTCACGTCTCTCCAGTTTCTCTCTCCGGATGGTTGGGGATTGGCCCGGAGTAACACCCCCTCATAATGGGTTCACCCGTCCGCACTGAGCGCGGGAGCGCGATCGGGAAAGAGACGGAAAGAGGGTTGAAAGGTGCTGGAAGGAGAGGAACTGCGCGAGGAAGCGGTAGTAGAGTAGAGAGAGTCAAAGACTGAGCGGACTAGGGAAAGCGAGAGGACGCAAGATAGGGAGAGACGGGAGGGAAGAGGGTAACGGAAGCCATATTGATTTCCCTATGTTTCCCCGTATTGTTACTATAGCGCCCGGTGAGGGCGCGAGGAGGAAGCAGGTACCACCCTCGTCAACCATCCCGCGCTAACCACCCCTCAACAATCACCCTCCCTCCAACCACCCGTAGCCAGCTAACCTGTGTTCTGTTCTTCCAACCGACGGTCGTCCGATGAGAGACTATACCGGTGGACGTAGATTCCCTTCCGGTTTTTCGTTACTATCCTCCTTATCTTCTTGTTTCTTCTCGCACGCGATCTTCTGTTTTACATACGATGATTTCTGCGTTTGTTTTCCTTCCAATTTATTATCGACTATCGCCATTATATACCTCTGTTTTCACCGCATTGTAATTTCTAAGTCGTTCAGAGAAAGTGGAAACGTTGAAAAAACGTAGGATATTCTTCGTGCAATATTGTAAGACGATGATGAGCATGAGTCACGTCGATCCAGTAAACGTCCATTAATGTCGCGATCCCCTCATCAACGACCTGGTTCGGTCCACTCTGCTCACGCAACACCGTTCCTGCGCGGTTTAATATTTCTTTTAATGTTGGAACACCCCAATGTTCGTTTCCACGATAGGTAAGGTACGCGGGGCACACCTGGGTGGTCCATGCACGATATCAGCTGCGAAACTTCCCAGACGTCCCGTTTCTCTGCGTCGCGTCCTTTGCTCTCCTCCGGGAAACGGAACGAGAGAAAACGCGGGGAGGGGTGCAAAAAGGGAGGACAGAGATCTAGCCAGAGGGAGAAGGAGCAGGACGAAGATAGTGAACCGTGTGGTTGTTACCTAGTGATGCATGGCTCGGTAATAGCTACAATACAACCAGCTTACAAGAGGGGTTCCGTTTCCATTCCGCTCGGCGACTTGAGATTTATTGCTCTCCGGTGGATTGTGGATTCCCAGATTCTCCGGTTTGCCCTTATAAATGACTCCTATTAATTGACCGTGATGCAAGATCGAAAAACATTAGAACGGAGAGAGTAAAATGGGAAGAAACGTAAAAATCGTAACTAGTGCACGGTCTTGTTAAGAGAAAGGAAATCCGTACGAAGCGTCAGATGCTCACGTCTGATTCTCTTCGAAGAGTTGTCACGGTGGAGTACGTTGCGTCGGAACCGTAGTCAGTTTACCCTGCACGCTGGCGGACGCGCATCGCACGCTAGCCGACAGGGATTTCGACACGGATGGCTATTCTGCGTTCATTTTCTCCGCGATGCGACGCGTCGTCGCAATCGTGCCCGTCGTTCGGCTTTAAAGTGCCAATCAGGGGATGAAAAAGAGGCGGAAAAGAAAGAGAACCGTTCGACGTCTACGAACCTCGTGCCGCGGCCACGTGTCCGATATGCGTGAAGAATGAAACCAGACACACCCACTGTGCACGCGAGCATAGACCCCCGTGACCGTGCGCAGAACCCCATAAATACGATCTGGCCGGCATTAAAAGCGTGCTAATGCACTTAATAGCGAGTTGCCGTGCACGCACGAGCCGCTGCGTGAGAACACGCGTGGGCGGGGTTAGTTGTCAAAACACACGTGAAAATCGCACGCCACAGCCGCGTGTCCTGATTTCCTCTTTTATTAATCGCTGTCTCTTTATCATCGCATTTCATTTTTTACGAATAGTCTGAATTCGGACTGTTTCGTGTTGGTGAATACCGTCGACTGGCCGCGAGGCGTTTCACTGATGAAATTTATGTAAAATCATGCGCCGCCTTTGCCGGTGGCTGTTAGCCATGCCTATATGGACCCACGATAACCGTGTAATAACGTAAGATTGAAGGTCGCAGGTAGCAGACTAACCGACACGTCCTCATAACATGTAAAACACCGGGATTACAGGATAATGGCGAGTCTAGGCGTTTGTGTTTGTAAAGTTTACCCGATGGTCACGACTGTCTGCGCGGACATTAGATCGGACGGGAGAGTTGGTTGCCAGAGATAGCCCAACGATAATGAAACGGCGCGGCGCGGTGGATCGTAGGGCGTTGGGACGAGCACGTAATTCCGCAGCTCCGAGTTCATGCCAGAGTGGACACTGGGGATTCACCGGCACGGTGTACCCCCCGTGGCTTTAATATCGCTTTATTAACCCACTTTGCCCGACGAGCTCTCTCTCTCTCTCGGTGATCTCGCGATCGTTTCATTGCTGCGGAAAAAACCGAGCATTGTTAGCCTGATCTACTACTTTGGTTGATTCTTTTTTATGAAACGATGGTCCAGCCAGTGACCAGTAGTTGCCTTGGACTTGAAATTCCGGCATCTCGCGAATACTCTTCTTTATGTTCTTTCGACTGGGGCTTTAAAGATTAGTAAAAACGGCGAAGTTTACAACTCATCCTGTTAATGTTACTGTGCTGGAAGTGGCATCGACATGAAAACGGGCTTTCGTTAATGCTCGATACGTTTGTCCCCGATGGATATTAATTTTTGCATCTTCATCGGAGGGCAACGAGACGTCTTGAACCGAGTTCGTTGCCCGGCCCGTTGGATCCTCTTTGTGACCGTGACGGGCTTTGTACCGGACACCCCGTAGACGTGGTGAAGATGTCGCAAATTGGATCGTGTATATAGCCCCGTCGGTGCCGCGCAATATATCGCCGGGAGATCCGGCAATCCCACG